AAAGTTCCAAAGTTATCTTTTCTCAAGATTTGGGGATGTGAAGCCTATGTAAAACGTTACAAGGCGATAAACTTGGCCCTAAATTAGACAAATATTTCTTCGTGGGTTATCCCAAGGAGACAAAAGGTATTATTTCTACAATCGCACAGATAACAAAGTGTTTGTTGCTCAGGATGGTGTCTTTTTAGAAAAGGAATTCCTTTCTACAAAGCCAAGTAGGAGTAAAGTGGTTCTCAAATCTAATTCTATACGAGCAACAAATGGATGTGGATAACACCACGTCAGAGGTGAGGGCACATGAATCAACTAGTTTGACAAATCATGTGTCGGAGCAAGCTAATTCAACTAGCGAGACTCCTATTGTCCCACTTGAATCTAATTCTTACAAAAATCTTCAAAGAGTTGAAGAGAATATTTCTACTGTTGCTCCTACCCTCGTAGGTCACTCGAAATCAAAAGCAAACAGTTTGTTAATGTTCTATTAACTAAGATTCCAAAATCTTCCTATTGGAGAGTGCGGAACCCACAACCTACAAGCAAGCTTTGGCGAGCCCCGACTCAAAAAAATGGCTTGAGGCCATGAATTCCGAAATGGACTCCATGTCTGAAAATGATGTGTGGGCCCTAGTAGACTTGTCTGATGGGGTCAAACCCATTATTTGCAAATGGGTCTACAAGATCAAGACAGACAAAGATGGAAATGCCTACATCTATAAAGTAAGACTAGTTGCAAAAGGGTTCATACAAATTCATGGTATTAACTATGATGAAACCTTTTCCCCAGTAGCAATGCTTAAGTCTATTCGGATTCTTCTAGCGATTGCTGCATTTTATTAATACGAAATTTGGCAGATGGATGTCAAAACTCAGTGCCGTCAAAAGCTAGAAGAGTTGAGACATTTGGCTAATTTATCTTTTGCTTTTGCAATACAGTCCATTATGTATGCCATGATATGTACAAGGCCGAATATTGCAAATGCCTTGAGCATGTGTAGCAAGTTTCAGGCAAATCCAGGAGAAGCACACTAGACAGCTGCTAAGAATATCCTTATGTACTTAAGAAGGAATAAAGAAATGTTTCTGGTTTATGGTGGCGAAATTGAGTTGGTTGTCAAGGGCTATACGGATGTGAATTTCCAAACAGACAGAGATGACTTCAAATCTTATTCTGGATACATTTTTTGTCCAAATGAAGGAGCAGTGAGCTGGAAGAGTTCGAAGCAAAGCACTATCTTAGACTCTATGACAAAATCTGATTATTTGGCTGCAGTAGAAGCGACTAAGGAGGTTGTTTGGATCAAGAAATTCCTCATTGAGCTAGACATTGTACCTAGTGCTCAAAAAGAAATAGAGTTGTTTTGTGACAACAATGGCGCCATTGCCCAATTAAAGGAGCCAAGGTCACACTACAAATCCAAACATGTTGAGAGGAAGTATCACCTTATTCGAGAGATTGTTGGCAGGCAGGATGTCAAGACCTACAAAGTTCATACGGATGAGAATGTTGTTGATCCGCTTACTAAACCTCTTTCAAAGCCCAAGCATGAGACTCATTCTTCTAGATTGAAGAAAGTTATGTAATATAAGTTGTATTTGTTTTGAGAAAACTTATTATATATGTAATACATTAATTTGCAAAATTATGTTTAATCAGAAAATTTTCATTTCTTTTATTTAATTGTGGTTTGATGTTAAATAAAATGTCCAAAATAATTATGAATTGATGGGATCATCAAATATGTGATTTGGTGAATGAAACCCCACAGGTGAACTAAATTCATATATTATTTAAGTTACTAGTTCGAAATCATTAAATTGGACATAAACGATTTCAATGAATGGACTAGCATGTAAGATTGATTGGATAGCGCAGTTTCATGGGCTATAGGGGCATAGAGATGCTCAGTCAATCACATGGGTATGCATGAGTGATGCATGATCGAACTATTGACCTACTTTGAAGTTCTAGTACAGAGCTTCCGTATATATTAGTGGATTCCTCTAACATGAGTGGAACTTTGATTTCATTCAATGATTGATTTAACTGTGGTACATCCAAACGTCATTCCGTAAAAGGGGACAATAAAAGGTGTTTCCTGGTTACATCAAAAGTTGAGTGAGAACTGTGGTTGCCATAAGATTGGATTGAGTCTACCTATTCAATTAGGAATATGTCATGGCCTCTTTAGGAGGGAAAATTGAAAAAATGCATTGCCGTGCTCAAATGGATTACATAGTAACCATTTGTTTTTGCAATTCTAACTCAGATTTCAAGAAATGATTAATAGATTAATATGATCTCGACATGTGATGCAATCATATTATCAAATCGACACTAATTGACTTAAGGAATTTGAATATTGCACACTTGTCTCAGACAAGTGGGATATTGAAGGATTTATGTCTTCATCAAGTGTAATTACTAGATATATTATGGAGATAATAAGTTCATTCTTTTGGGTCGTCATTGTCTGTTGCTAGATATGATAAATGATATTTAGGCTAGTCAAATAGTCTAAAACCCAATAGAATGGATCCTATGAGGTCACACATAAGGGTCATGGATTGAACAAAGCATGAAGCCCATTCATGGGTCTCATGAGGTAATGACAAGCCACATAAGAAGTAACGCTAGAGTAGTTTGGGTTGGATTAGGAGTTTGGGCTTCCCATGGAGTCTAATTATATATGAGACATATAAATAGAGGAATTACCAAGGTTAAGATACAAGTCACAATTAACCTAAGTAATAAAGTTTGAAGCAAGCCACCACTCTCTCCCATCCCCTCTCTCACACGCCTCGCTCTCTCCCCTCATCCGTACAACCGTACAGACCACCCAAGAAAGGTGGTTGCTCGCAGAGGTGGTGGTGGTTCGTGTCTTGTTCGTTTCGTCTCCTCTCCGTAGAAGGTAGATCGAAGGGTTCGTTCTCCACTAACTAGCATTAGTGGAAGTTCAATTCTAGCCCGTGGACCAAGTAGAGGAGTCACGTTTGAGGTTCTTGTTCTCCTAATTGTTCTTGCTCGATCACTTGTGGAATCACGCTTCAAAGGTATAATTATATGCTTTCTTTATGTGTTGTGCATAGATCCTGTTTTAGATGCTTATGAATATAATTCATGCAATTTCGCTTAAAGTATCTATAATCCTACATAAATATACACAGCAATATACTTATCAAGACGCCTTTAATATCCTGGGTCATCTTGGATCATCGCTACGCTATTCTGTAGCTGGGATCATCAAGATAATCTTCGAATTCATCGTCGATATGCTCTACAAGAATCCAATTAATTCTATTATGCTTAAAATTCTCTTCGTACCATAATTAGCAAGCACATATGTACATTAGGGAGTGCATTTCCCGTTCTGTAACCCTAGTTACCTTGACTACATAGTACGTCTTGGAGTAAGGAATAGTCCTTGCCTCCAATTTTTCATTGAATGTCGGAGGAAATATCATTATGATCTTCCTAGCCTATCCTTTGTAAACCAAGGCAGCGTTTTCCTTGTCCTTTATCTTCTCCAAGTGAGGAAGTATGAAATTCTTTAAAAGATCAGCGTTTGCACCCACTTGAAAAGCGCTAGCCCCGACAGGCCCAACTTTATCTTCAAAGATGGAAGGTTTGTCCCCCCATCGCTTCTTGAGCCTCATGTTGAGGCGATTACTCTTCCGATTCCTATAGTTCCTCCTCCATTTAGCACGTCTATCCATAGCTAAATTGTGATTAAGGAACTAGTTTGGATACTCAAATGATCCATGGAGTATATTGTCAAGATAGAACATGCCAACTCCATAAACTTCCCCATTAGGCCCAATGTGGTTGAAGAACTCTGACAGATTTTAGAAAGTGGTTGAAGAACTCTGACAGATTGAATTTTTAGAGAGAGAAAGTAAGATAGATAAATAATATTGGCTTGATGAAGAAGGAAAAGTTTGAGTGAAGTGACTACTCATATATATAATCACTCTTGCATCACCCCTAGACGGTTAAAATTCTCTGTTACTTCAATACTTCGTGTAAAACCACATAACTCTCCATATTCTTGAAAATCATTTATCCAAAAATCATATAACCTAGGAGGAGATCGATGTTGACATATCAAAAATGATGAAGTTCCTGAACCAATTCCCTCTTTAGATGATGATGATAATAGATTTTATCAAGACATAGAGTACACTTGGGCAAACATACAACATGCGTATGTGGATAGTAGTTCTAAGATGATATAGAAAGAATACACTAAAGGAAGGAAGGAATTTAAGAAATTTTCTGAAAAGGCTAAGGCTAATGGAAAGGGCAAGGGCAGGGAGAAAGCTAGTACTTATAAAGAAAGTAAAGATAGAGCAAGACAAAAGTTATTGCACTTGCTATTGGTGAAAAATTACCACCATCTCCTTAATGATGTCACTGATCCAAATAACACTGTAACTGATCCAAACAACATTATCACTGATCCAAATACCAAAACTAGCAATAATGATTTAAACCTGTTTGCTAGGAAATGCCAAAAGGCACAGCATTTATAAGGGTGTTTGATCGAGAAAAGTGTGTCTAAGCAACCTCAAATACAAAAAGCTTCAAAATGTGGTAGACTTTTAAGAAGAAAAGTTATCTTTGGGAATGAAAATGCTGATATGAGTGATGATAATGATGATTATAATGATGGAGATTTTGAAGAAGGTGAGAAAAGTTATGATTCTGAACCAAATTTGATCCCTAACAATTCAGACATCCTTGCAGATGAGTTAGAAGATGTTGGGAAGGTCCCACACATAGAAGACAATTGGGATCCTTTCCATTGTTATAGATTTATTGATGATGACAAAGTATAAGATTGGGGAAATGTATGAAGAGAAAAAATTTAGCAAAATCAGCTTAGTCCTTGGATGCTTTTCATTGACAAAAATCATCTTATAAAAACCCTAAAGGATTATGTTAATGTAGTGTATGCAGACAATAGGAGGTACAAAGTTACCTATTATGTCCAGTGTTATAAATGAGATTGCATGCTAGCAGGCTTACTGACGGCAAGGCATGGGCTATAAAGAAGATTTGGCTTGATATGCACAATTACAGGGGTTTGGAGACATATAACCTAATTTTTACTGTTAAATGGGCTGCAGTAAAGGTTATAGAAGATATCAGGGCTAATCAAAGATATCACTAGAAAGGCATTGAATGAGCTGCTATAATTAGAGGTTTTGCATATACATGAAATAGGCTTCTTTTTATAAGCTAAAGAGGTTGTCAATGATGAAGTTTTTGGTGGGCATGATGAGTCTTATGCTCAATTACCTACATATGCTGAAGTGGTCAAGGAGACTAATCAAGAATCTGCAGCATTTGTAGTTTCGCAAGAAAGTGAATACATAACAAGGGTGAATTTATACATCAACTGATTAATATCTTCTGCTGGACAATAGAAGGGGTTTCTCGGAGGTTTCAGACCCCTAATTGGTGTTGATGGGGCACATTTAAAAGGAAACTATGGGGTATATTTCTTTTTGCAATTGCATTGGATGGTAATAATAATGAGATTTACCCATTAGCTTATGTTGTTATGAGTGTTGAAGACAAAGAGCGTTGGTCTTACTTTTTCTGGCATATACACAACCTACTCAAGGACTTAGACAGGACAGATTGGACAATAATATATATCTGATAGACAAAAAAGGTAAATGATCTATCCTTTAATTCCCTTAGCTTCTGTAATTCAATCATTGTAATGTATTTTACTAATTTGCCTTTATAACTATTATAACAGGGAGTTGGTCTTGGTTTGAAACAAGTTTGTCCGGAAGCTAGAAGGAGATTTTGTTGCAGACATTTGAGCTGAAACTATAAAAAGGTCTTCCCAGACCAGGACCTTTAATGTATATCATATTCTAGAAGGCCTTCAATGCAACTTGTAAATACATTTTTAAAAAAGCAATTGAGACACTGGCGGATGTATTAAGGGGCATGGTGGGTCACAGAACCCACCATTTAAAAAAAAAAAAAAATTTGAAGTTATAATTTTTATATGAAATAACATGATGTTAATCTAAGATTAATTATTATTAATAAGCTTATAATTTATTATTATCTATAAAAATATAGTATAATTATAACTTAGATTTTCTAATCAATTTGGTTGCACTATGTGTTTCCACAATTTCTTATTATTATTTTCGTCGTTTACTGTGTATTATCACAAATTTTCATATGTGGCTGGCCACACCGTGTGGTCAGAGTTACTTATTTAGGGTTAACCCCTGACTGACCGAGCAACCCCTGACCAGGTAACCCTTGAACGAGTAACCCCTAAATAAGTAACCCCTGAACGACCGAGTAACGCTGGCCACACAATGTGACACACACTGGCGGGCTTGGTCTTAGACCTGGTGGGTCAAGTGACTCACCAGGCCCAAAAAAAAAAATTTAAGTTATTTTAAAAAAAAAAAAAAATTAAAATCAGTTTTCCCCAAAAAAACCAAACACGAATTCAGTTCAAGACTTCAAGCCCTAGCCTTCTTCAGTTCTTCTCTTCGCCATTGCCAATTCGCCTCTTCCCTTCAATCCTTCATCAATCATCTGCAACTCCAGTTCTTCACTTCTTCATCAAAGAGTAAGTTTGTAATTTTTATTGTTAATTTCTAATCTTCAATTTAATTCATTCTAATTAGTTAATTTTATTAAACTACAATCGCAATCTTCAATTTAATTCAGCCAATTCGCTATTTCGCTGTGCGGGCTGTGCTGCTGGCTGCTCCGCTGCTCGCCGACGCCTAGTCGCCTCAATCAGCGCCTGCCGCCTCCGGCACGGCAGTCCGGCAAGGTATGTTCATCAATTTATTCTTTTTTTTTTGTGAATTTTTTATCAAATTTGCATTACTTGTCTCTTAAAATTAGTATATACGGTGAATGTTCATTGAATTTGCATTATTTGTGTAAATTGTGTTTTGACTGTTAAATTGAACTTATTAGTTTATCTGTTTTACTGTTTATGTCATTATTTGAAATTGTGAATATGTGATGCCGGTATTGCCGGACATTGTGTAAGACAACAATTAGACTATTTAACTATTAGTGTAAGGAAGATTATAAATTTATAATTAGATTACAGTGTGGACTGGTTAGTGCTTAGTGGTGCTAGTCGCATATTCGGCTTGAAGTTCTGTATAGTCGTATAGATTAGTGGAGATATTAGTTTGTTGATTTTAGTCTTGTCAATTTTTTAAGCTTGTTAATTATTAGTTAGGATTGTAATCTTGTCAATTTTCTATTTGGATGATCTAATGATCTTTGTAAATAATTTTTCTGGGGAATATTGTTTGATTTAGTTGATTATTCATTCAATTTTCAGAATGAAGAGAAAACGCACTCCAAATGAAATGCAAAACATTACTAGCTTCTTTGCTAAAAAGAATCCTACTTCAACTTCTCTTCCACATCCAACACAAAATGAACAAACTATATCTCCGCCTCAACAACGTGAACAAACTATATCTCCACCTCAACAAAGTGAACAACATTCATCTCCATCTAATTATTCAACTCAAAATTCCCCTCAAAATGAACAAGGCCAATGTTCTCGTAATGCCCCAATCTTTGGTGAAAGATTAAGTGAACATGAATTTGCTAATCTTCCACAAGATCCAGGAAAGAGGAGAAAGATGAGTCAATTCCATAAAGATGATAGAGATTTAGTGAGAAGAATTTACATTCAAAGAAAGCCTTGTCAGCACAAAGACTTTATATTTCCTCAAACTTCAATTTTTGGCAAAAATCGTCGCTTTTGTGCTAAGTGGTTTGATACTTGGACTTGGCTTGAGTATAGTGTGGAAAAGGATGCTGCCTATTGTTTCCCTTGTTATCTATTCAAGGATGAAAATGCATTTGGAGGTGATGCTTTTGTTAGTGATGGTTTCAAATCATGGAATCGATCGGATTTAATAAGAAAACATGTGGGTAAGCACATGAGTGCACATAATAATGCAGTGTTAGCTATGGATTTTTTCAAGAAGCAAAAGTCAAGCATCACACAAGCCTTGACAAAACAAACCGCTGAGAGTACAAATGCATATAGGAAGCGACTTGAAGCTTCAATTGAAGCAATCCAATGGCTATTACTCCAAGGGTTGCCTTTCCGTGGTCATGATGAAAAATAAAGTTCCTTAAGAATAGGTAACTTTCTTTCACTTTTATCCCTTATTTCCAAAGGTAACCCTGAATATTCTAAAGTTTTTTTCAAAAATGCTCCTAGTAATTGTCAACTTACTTCTCCAAAAGTCCAAAAAGATATCATAAATGCATGTGCAAAAGAGACAACTAAAGCAAAGCTTGAAGATATTGATGGTGGTTTGTTTTCTATCCTTGCTGATGAGACCGCTGATGTTTCTGACAAGGAACAATTGGCTCTTTGTTTGAGATATGTTAATAGAAAGAGAGAAGTGTGTGAGTGTTTACTTGGTATTGTGCATGTTGTAAACACTGCTTCTTTGACTCTCAAAACTGCTATTGAATCCTTATTAATGGAGCATTCTTTGTCTTTCTCTCAACTACGGGGTCAAGGTTATGATGGGGCAAGTAATATGCAAGGTTCTATTAATGGCCTTAGGACTCTTATAGAGAATGAGTGTAAAGAAGCTTATTTTGTCCACCTGCTTTGCTCACCAACTTCAATTGACTCAAGTTGCACTTGCTAAAAAGAATTCAGATTGTGCTTGGTTATTTGTTGATGTACTTGCACCCCTGTTGAACTTTGTGGGGGGTTCACCAAAAAGGAAAGAGTTTCTTCGTGAAAATCAAGCTCAAAGAGTGGTGGATGCTTTGTCTCTAGGTGAACTTGAAACGGGTTCAGGTTTAAATCAAGAACGTGGATTAGGTAGACCTTGTGATACTCGTTGGGGATCTCACTTCAAGACAATCTTGAATGTACTTGATTTATTCCCTGTAATCCTTGGTTCTCTTGAGGATATTGCAAAAGTATCTGATACAATAGATTCTAATAGAGCTCAAACACTTACAAATCTTCTGATGTCCTTTGATTTTGTGTTTGTGGCACACTTGATGGTTAGTATATTTGCGATAACAAATGCTTTGAATGTGGCCTTACAAAAGCACGATCAAGACATTGTGAATGCAATGGCCATGGTTAATGTAACCAAGACTAATTTGCAAAAAATGAGAGATGAAGGATGGGATTCTCATATGGAACAGGTCATTTCTTTTATTGGTGACTATGACATTGCAGTTCCAGATATGGAGGCTAAATATGTTGTTCCCGGGAGGAGGTTGTTTCGAGGTAAATGCCCACAAGTGTCTAATTTACATCATTTTCGAGTTGAAGTTTTTTTTGGTGTCATTGATCTTCAATTGCAAGAACTTGAAAATCGATTTCCCGAAATAACTAAAGAACTACTTGTGTGTATGTCTTGTTTGAGTCCTGTGGATCGTTTTTCTAAGTTTGACAAGGAAAAATTGATTAAGCTTGCGAAATTCTATCCTAATGAATTTCCAAGTTCAGAATTGATAGTCTTTGGTCATACACTTGAGAGTTACATTTGTTCTATTAGAGGAGATGAAAGGTTTTGGAATTTGAAGGGTCTTAGTGAGCTTTCAATCAAATTGGTTGAAACGGGATTGTCTGAAACTCATGATAGGGTCTATTTACTTTTGAAGTTGGTGTTGCTTCTTCCTGTCGCAACGGCAAGTGTGGAAAGGGTATTTTCTGGCATGAAGCAAGTGAAAGACAAACTACGAAATAGTATGGGAGATCAAATGTTGAATGATTGTTTAATTACTTATTTGGAGAATGATTTGTTTTTGAATGTTAGCATGGAAGATATCATGAATCGATATCAAAACATGAAAACTTGTCGAGAACTATTGTAATAAGTTTGCATTACTATTTAGTTGTCTTTTGTAGTATTATATGAACATTTGGTTGTATTTTGTACTGTTTGAATAATTGGATGTATTTTTTAGTACTATTATTTGGTTGTTCGGTAATTTTTTTTTTTTACATACTTGATTATCGATTGTGAACCACCAGTCGGAAATTCCTGGGTCCGCCACTGGTGACACACAAAATGCGCTGGTGAATTATCAGGTGTTACCCTTTATTTATTAATTTTTCCATTTCATAAATAATCGTATATAATAGTTCCAAATTTATATATAATTTTCATAATATCAAATTGAAGAGATTGATTATAATATACACCTTAATGCAAAGTAAACCCAAATGACCCAATAATATCTTTCATAAAAAAAAGCGGTGCATAATAATTCTATCTTTATCTCCAATTTTCATAATATCAAACGAAGAGTTGGATTCAAAGTACACCCAATATTTTTTTTATTTGCTCATTTTTTTATAAATTGTTTAATTAGAAGGAACGATGGTGATAATATTTATTAATTTTAGAGAATGAATCTTTGTGAAGTAATGATTTTTACGTAGTATTTTTGTAAACAATGCATTTTTATTGAATAATACTCCATATAATGTTAATGGACGGTGCGTGGTGAACTGGTGACCTACCATCTATAAAATCCTAGATCCTCCACTGAATGGAGAGGCTACGAAAGGAAGGAGGTGAAGAAGTGATGAAATGGTTTGCCGACATAGGTGATCTATCAAAATGGAGAAAACACATGTTTGATCCAAATGTGTGTAATGACACCAACACATCAACTTTTGTGGAGAGTTTCAACTCATCCCTTAAGGTTGACAGGAGCATATACCTGTTTAAAATCTACTTCACTGTACATTATAAAAGTCGATCACATTTAGTGGCGGTTCCAGTATGGATTTAGTGGGTTCAGCTGAACCCATACAAGAATTGGAAAATTCTATCCAGTTTATTTTTAAAACAAAAATTACTTATATACAATACTATGCGCATGTATAGTATTATTTCCTGCAGCCCAGTGGTAATTTTTTCGCCTTTAATAACATTAGTCGCCGGTTCAAGACCCCCACACCATTTTTTTCCTATTTTTTTCACTTGCTTTTACTAACTTTCTTCTTTCGAACACTAAAAAATGAAGAATCCAGCTCAATTGCATTTCAAAATTTAATTTTTCTGTTAAATTAGTATGTGTACATCCGAATTATTAGTTTTAATTTGTATTTTGTATTATATTACTTTATTTTATTATATGTGTTTGGAGACTCCGAACCCATCAGGAAAAATTCCTGTAACTGCCACCGATCACATTCTCATTTCATTTGCATTAAGTGCCATATACTTATCTTCATTTATTTTGCCAATAGGAATTAGAAGAGTTTGCATGGTGAGAATAGCAGCTGGAATGAGAATGCAATAAGCTGGAATGATTTGATGGTGTGTGCCCCAAAATAGCAAAGCTAGTTAAGGACATCAGCAAGGCCACTACAACTTGCAAAGCACATATACCAGTCAAGTCCGGGGAGTATGAGTTTCATTAGGGTAAATTTCATCTCCCTTTAAGCTTGAACAACAAAATATGCTCCTATGGGGCTTGGAAACTCTCTAGAATACCTTGCAGGCATGCTATAAGGGCAATGGATCATGTAAAGGTTGACCGTTACAATTACATAAGCTATTGGTATTCTGTGGAGACATACAAGAAAGTATATAACTACCATATTCATCTAGTGCCTGATATTAGTCAGTGGCCATCTATGGATGCTTTCCCTAACATTTTTCCACCTAAAATGAAAAGAGGGGTTCGTAGATCCAGTGTAAATAGAAAAACGGAACAAGGAGAGGATGTACTTGGGAAAAGATCAAGGATAGTAAAGTACAAGAAATGTGATTGTATTGGTCACAACTCTAGGTACTGCATAGGAGGGTTAACTGGTAAGGAACTAAGGGCAATAGATGAGCCAATTGTGGTGACAAACCTTAGGGTTAGAGATTAGTCAAAGGAAGCTAGGGAAAAGGCTAAGGAACTAACTCAACAATTTGCTACAAAGATTACTACTTCATAACTGCAGAGTCAACCACAAAGCCACTTAGAAAGCCAGATTTAGTTTTATCTGCATCAAATGAATTTGTTTAGAGGTAGTACGGCACTTTAAGTAACATAACTAGATTTAGTTTGCTCTGAATGGTTGTGTTTTTGAACCTTAAATTGCAACTATAAATTGTAATCACTTTCGGCACTTAGTTTTCTTTTGACAGTTGGTTATGTAAGCAATTTATTTTGCAATGATTTGGAAGTGCATTTGGTTTTGGAACAATTGATGATGAATGAACAATTACTTACACATTTTCATATGGTCTTTCTTTATTGAATAGAACAATATAACATAGTTACATTATATGAAAGCTACAACTAGTAAAACTAAATATATAACAACAACATTTTTCACAACTAAATGGACAAAGTCAGCAAATTCATTTGTTTTCTTCACAAACTCATTGAATTCTTCCCTTAGAAGTTGAACAGTTGTACCTTCAGGTGTATTACCGACCCTAACTCCTTTTTCCCTGTTAATGTAAATATTGTTCTTTACCAACAAGTCAAAGACCTATTCTTGTTCTAGAGTAATAAGGGGTTGCCCCTCTTGTTATTAGTTGTAAAAGATTAATAACCTCGCTAACGTAACACAACAAAACGGTAACGAAGTTTTCCTCAAAGAAGTTAAGCAAGTTGGATTGCTAAAGAAACGAGTAGATAAACATATGACAAAAGATGCAAGTGTTCCCCATTAATTGAAATATGTAGTAAGGTTTACAATTGTACAAGTTGAAGGAAAGGTTACCTCCATGTTCATACAATTGGAAGGGATGATTGATCTTCAATACATGCTAAAAAACTAAACTATTGCTTGGCTACTAAGCTAGGGAAAACTAAGGAAGCTAAAAAGAAAGCTTAAAGTAAATGAAATGCTTTTGTTGATTGATTTGCTAATGCCTTTCCCTTGAGAATTCTCTCCTATTTATAAGCAACCTTGAGGCGGTATCTTCCATTAACCTCAATAACAACTAGACGGTTATAACTCTTGGCGCTAATCTTCCTTTAAATTTTGAAGTACTTGTCTTTAAACTGGTTTAACTTTTACTTCTTGGGCTTTATAATTGGACCTTGTTTATGAGCCATACCTTCATCACTAGACCGAGCCTTCAAAGTCTATTTCTCCTTAGTCAACATGCATAAGTCAAGATAAGTCAAAATTTTTAATTTTGGGTATAATAAGTGCCCCCTGATTTGAACGGTTGATGGCATTTGAAACCAAACAAATTATAACTTGTCTTATAAAAATAAAGAAGTATTGCGTGTGTTCGAATGCCAATAAAGATAATATAGAGCATTAAACACTAACTTCAATTTCATTAGATAATTAAATAGATACAAAGATAGAGCATTTGAAAACATGAAAGTATTGAATTGTGTATGCTCTTTAAATTAAGGCTATATATATAGAGGAATATATTTATTAAGTTGCCTTCTAATATCTAGGATCATCCTTAATATTTTCCAATGCCCTCTTCAGACCAAGATCGTCAAGATAAGCCTCAAATTCACCATCGCTTGGTTCCAACTGTTCCCAACTGATCTTGATGTTATTGATTATCTCCTCATCCCAACACTGGCATGTACATTTTTACATTAGAGTATGCATTTTCTCCTTTGGTTCCTCTGGTCACATTAACTTTATAGTATTTGCTAGAGAAGGGAATTGTCCTAGCTTTCAACTTCTTTACGAATGAAGGCAAAAAAACTGATTTGATCTCTCTGGCCCACCCCTTGCAAACTAAGGCAGCGTTTGACCTATCGCCCAGATCAATTTTAGGGAGGATATAATTCCTCAAGACATTAGGATTGGAACCCACTAAGAAGGCACTAGGACCAGCATGACCTTCTTCGTCCTCTAAAATTTCTGGTTTCTCTCCCCATCGCTTGTTAATCCTCCTGTTCAAGCGATTTCTTTTTCTATCCATGGCTAAGTGATGATTTGGATATTCGCAAGGATACTGCAAAGTGCCTACTTCGTGAAGGACCTCATTCACGATGAAGACTTCAATTCCTTGAATTTCATTGTTATCGCCAATATGTAGTATATATCTCAATGGGAATTAAATTGTCAGCCATTAAATACTACATATATAATTATATGTTCAATACTTTCATGATACTAACAAGATTAATATAAAGCTTAAACATGATACTAACAAGAACAATTATTGTAGAATTAATTAAACTAAAAGAATAATTCAATCTACTTAATTATGTCGATTGCAACTGTAGGAAATTTTTCTAACTCGACATTTTGAGCCCCACTGTGTTCATGCTTTAGGCATGGCGGCGCTCCAAGGGAAGGAAGCTAGACATAGAAGAGTCTCCAATAAGTTATAGGAACTTGTAAACCGTTCACGGGTGCGAAGGTTACACCCCATTCACGATCACGGAGATCGCTAACTCCATAGTGGTCAGGAACCACGACTGGATATTCAGGGATGATTGTACGAATCAAACCTATAAGAGATTGAACCCGCCCTAAATAGGCATCTACTCAATTCTTATAATATTCATGTGCGTTTTCCGATCAACATACATACATCAAGTTAGCCCTAAACCTATTTAATCTATGCTGGCTGATTATTAATGCACAATCAAATCTATTATTGGTGATCACTTGAATTAAAACCATATTAGCCTAAAATCAAATTATTAATTATCTTATTAGGTGTGATTTCAAGTACAAATTCCCTTTAAACCTACAAAAAGGGGCGTAATCAAGCAATAACAATCAATCATGAACAATCAAGCAGCATATAATTGACACAACAATCATCATCATACTTAAAATCATCAAAACATGATTAGCAAGATCCTAGGCATGATACTAAACGGTTTAATAGCAAATCCTAACATGTCACTAATAATAAAAAATCAAAGCTTAACCCTAAACATGATGTTAGAAATATTAGTTAACACCCTAAACATGATACTAGGAATCAAAACAACATCCTAACATGATACTAGGAATTAAAATAATATCCTAAACATGATTTCTACTCCCAAAGTCAAGGAATAAGGATAGTAGATCTACTCACTTTGATGCTCCTCCCTTCTTGCTATCAAAACAATAAACACGTTAGTAACTTCAAGAAATATTAAATCAACAAAGTAAATAAATCAAATAATAATTGAAATAGAGATTTGGGACCAAACCCTCAGAACTATCAACCTTTCACGTCAAGGTCAAAGGCAACGTCGAGGATGGCTAGGAGTATTCAAATCTCGTGAGGGAAGTATGGTATTTGTTGAGAAGAGTCTCAAAGATGTGTTTAGAGGTGTGTTTAGGGTAGGTTAAGAATATGAAGAATTAAAAGACAAAGAGAATATTAAAAGGGTATTGATGATGATTGTTGGTTAATGAAAACGGGGTGATACGACCTCTATTTATAGGGAAAAAAGAGAGTTAAAACAATCAGAAAAGAGTCAGAATTCAAATCAAAGTAATACAGGTCTCATCGCGGCGCGACAGCCTTTTCACGACGCGACAGGTCCATCGCGACACGATGAGCCTATCATGGCGCGATGGTGCTGTCGCTTAGCGATGGTTTTAAAAAAGATAAAGTTTGTACGGATTTAACTTCCCAATCGGATTGGTTAACCAAATACCTGTACGTATTCTATATTGACCGGGATTAGGATTATTGAAAAACAGATGTTTTATCCGATATAAAATTCTTAAATCTCTATCTTTTTGAAAACAGGAAAAATTAGAACCTTCTAGAGGATTCTAGAAGCTCACAATAAATCCTAATGGGTTTAATGGGATTAAGGTCAATGGACCTCCACATGATCATTGTGTCGTAGGTAAGGTTTGGTTCGGGCTCGGTTTAATATTTTAGCCATAACTTATTGGTTATAAGTTGGATTTGGGCTTATAATATATCATTGGAAAGATCTTTTCAATCTCCATCCAAATAAACAATAATTGGACTAAGATAAAGGACCAAATTTGACTGGTTCGGACATTTTCTTGAATTGGACACGAAATAACTGATTTTGAGGACACGAAATAAATGATTTTGATTTAAAACATTTAAAGAAAGGTTAGAAATGGTTAAGGATAAAAGAAAATTCACAAGACTCTTCACCTAACTCGATAATCAAAGACGTGGAAGGTACTCATCACAGGGTTTGGTTTTTGGGGAGACACAATCAGGTGTCTAAAGAAGCCCCCACTTTGACAGAGTTTGGAGAAACGTAAGTTTTGAAAACAAAAGTCAAAGTAAGTCGATAGAGACGGAAAATGATTCAGAACGTTCTGCGATACTAAACCATTCTTTTAACGCCGATACCTGCAGAAAGTATCAATTTTACAAATAAAAGTTGAATCAATTTTGCTGAGCATATGTCCCTAGGTTACATCATTTTTTCTGAATCAAAGTTGTTTTACGTGACAATCTCCACATCCTAGGGAGCGCCATTGTTGTGATTCGCCATCTTCAAATCAAAGTGACAAACATCGTCTAAGATTGCAGTGCTTCGCCATCTTCAAATCAAAGTGACAATGTCGTCGAAGATTGCAGTGCTTCGCTATCTTCAAATCAAAGGGGGACAACCTCCACATCCTAGGGAATGTTGTCAAAGATCGCAGTGCTTTGCTATCTTCAAATCAAATGGGGACAACCTCCACATCATAGTGAACATTGTCGAAGACCACTACTCCTTGAGCCGACTTCAAATCTTCTCGCCTTCACTCCTTGGAAGTGGTAGCTTCTTCCTCCTTGGAAAATCTACCGTAAAACCTCATTCCTCAAGGTTTTACCGAGCTTTAAATTGATTTACGTAGAAAACTTCCATCCTAGGAATTATTTGTGATTATGATCAATCACTAATCAATGCTCAAATGTGCTTAATCAATTCTGAAGTGTACTCAATCAATCAATAAGGTGATCG